CAACCAACACTGGAAACCTCTTCTTTTTCTCTATACCCTTCTTAAAGCCCCACCAACCACCACTAACCTCTCCTCTTTTCTCAGCAGTTAAGGCTGCCTATGGGAGGTGAATAGGTGGCATTTCTGCAAATTAATAGCACCGAGGAACAGAGCTGGTAGGCTGGGGACCAAATCCCCATGGTTACCCTGGAGCAGCAACTGCCTTTTCTGGCTGGGAATAAGCCAACAGAGGACTTGAAGGAGCCAAGATAAGTTAGGGGCGACATCAGTGAAGTACACCTTTAAATCACATACCTTAAACTAGGCACTGAGCACTTTTATGTTTTAAAGTGTGTGTGGCATTAAGTGGGAAACTAATTGGCATAGAATACTAACCATCCACTACTTCTTAAGTGCCCCTGAGCAGTTCACTCAAAGTTAATTTGTGTGTATCTGTGATGCCTCAACTTGTCCTTTCTCACCTCTCCAGTTGCATAATCTTGCTGTGATATTATGGGAACAATGGCTTAACGACAAAAGTCCCACACCAGCTAGAGTTCAAGAAGAAATCTCAACAGTAACAGGTAGTTATAACACACAAGCGTGACTAAAAATGCAACAGGCCAAGTGGGAATAATTACAAGCATCTCGGTTGTTAAGGACAATGTGTGGACATACAGCCTTAAAATAACAGATTGTATTTTATTTATTTTTAAAGGCTACAGGCCTGAAGCCATGTGAAAGATAGTGATCGCTTCTTTGAACCAGTGTCAGTCTATTGAGCGTTCACATGCAAAACTATGCAAGACTAAAAACCCTTCCTGAGCTGTGACTAATGATTTATTTTGCTGACTACATCCCTAACTTTGTCCTGCTGGCACAAATATTATTGAGCCGTGGCAGCCCTCTAAGTCATTTTACAGATATCCAAGTTATATGAAGGCTGGACCTCTTGGAAAGACACGTCCTCGTTTGACTTGACCAAAAGGGGGTCATTTACACCAACTTTCTTTCTTAATCCACCTCACCACAAGTCATAGCCAGTGACCACCATCACTAGCTATGACTCATGCAGGTAGTGATGAACCAGCCTGGTCCCAATTAGTCCTTTCTCGGTTCTCCCAGCAGCTCCTACAAGCGCATTTCCCAGAGAAACATTTAACCCTCCCCTTACCTTTGACTTGACTCTCGTAGTCCGTGATAATTTCTTTATCCTTTTTGAACCTCGGTGTGGACATTTTCCGTCTTCCTATGTCCGAAACTTGTTGTAAACTTCTTGTATAAAGAAAAAAAAAAACTGTCAACAAGCGGGATCCTACAGCTACCGACGCATCCCAAACAACACGAGAAAAATGAAAGCCAGGGGAAGAAGGAGCGAGATTTTTTTAAGACTCTTAGTGGGATTTAAGTCTGCAGCGGGACTTGGAGAAAGGAGGAAACGTTTATCGTTTCATTGTTCTTCTTCCCTCAGGATACGCGGCGGGTACACGGCAGGGCCAATGCGCAATCCTGCTCCAACCAATGAATCCTCTCAACTATCCGAGCAGTCGGCACAGCGCGACAGCGCTGCTGAAACCACAGAAGAAGAAGAAAAAAACAATCGCGCAAGTTTAGGGTCCTTCCGGCAGAAGTAGTGTCAACAGCATGTCCGAAGGGCTTGGAAGTCGGCTTGAATGGTTAAGAGTCTCCGCCGCTTTGGTGGTGGTTTCCAGTTTGAGACCCACACATCCACACGTCCCCCCCTATGCTCGCTCTCCCTCAACGGTTTCTCGCCCCCCACCCCCGACCCTACAACTCAACTCCCAGCAGGCGAAAAGGCAGACAGGGCAGGCAGACCGACTGCAGCACGCAGCAGCTGGAGGTAGGAAGGACAGGGAGGGAGGGATCTCCACAGTAGTGGACATCCGCGCCCTGACGGACACTCCTGCTGCCAAACCTGAAGGCTTTTTGTCCTTATTAGGGACAAACTACTTATACGTAACTTGAAATAGACGTCACATTATATTAGTTTTGCATTCAATATTTTCTTTCTAGATCAAAACAAAATTACGTTTTTATTTTTATTATTTACAGACATTAAGCGCTCTATAGGGTAGACTAAACGTGTGGCCGCACACCTGTGCACATCTGTAGCTGAAATACAGCGAGAAACCCCAAAATTCCTGGTAACGACCACGGATCAATATATTCTTAGCTAATATCGATCTGTGCCCTATACATCTCAAATACACTAGTTTGGTAAACATCCAGAAGTTTCTCCTCAGTTTTACGGCATGTTTCGTGTTTATTAGCTTATGTGAAAAGTAAGTTTCCCCACATATAATTTTTTATCAACTTCAAAAAGCGTCTGCATTACATTTCACTGGAGATCATCGCATCCACTGACATTTAGCTGGTCCACAGCGCCATCTGCAGGCACAATGAAAGCACAACCTCACATTTCTGTTCAGGACAATGCTCCATTTTATTTTACTGCACTATCTTTAAAAAAAAAAGAAAAGAAAAAAAAGAAATCCACACACATGCAGCACAGAACTGAAATAAATATAAAACAGCTGATTTTTTTTTTACCACAAAGCAAAACATTTCATCCCAACCACATCCGTTTGCAAGCAGCTCACAAAGAGAAAAGATTTCAAAAGGATATCAGGGTGTTAAAAATGGTGCAAACACATTACAATCTCTTCTACACATATTATTTAGTGTTTCCTAAAAATCACAATAAGAATGACATAAAAACACATAAAACATACTTAAAGTAAATTAAGGTGTTTTTTTTATGCAAAGGCAGTTCATAATTCTCTATCTCTAAATGCCTGTACATTCCACAGTTGTAAACATTTAGATGATGAATATACTTAAATATCACGAGGCCCCTTTCTGACTAGTAATGGCAGCTTTACAACTTTACTACACACATAAATTCTTTTTTAATAACCTGCGCCAGAATATTGAAAAGAACATCACCACTTTCACTATGTCAGTAGTACATCACATTTCTCCACAAACCATAAAATAAATAAAATCAGTTTTAACTGTCAATCATCCCGCTGATATTTAGAAGCACCAGTCAGCCGGTTTTGAAGAAGGTCTCTTCGATGACCTCGGTGAACCTTTCCTTCATCTGCTGACGAAAGCTGGAATACCACTCCAGCAACCTCCTCCTCCTGTCCACCCTCTGCTCCTGTGTCATCCCTCTCTCCCTCTGCAAGATGGCTGGGAGCTCCTTCCAATCGCTGATGAAGATGAAGGGCGCCCCTGCAGCTTTTAGGAGTCGTAGTGGGGAGCTGGGCCCTGCTGCACAGCTCCCAGGTGTCATCACATCTTCCACCACGGGCACGGAGCCATAAGAGCAGGCCTCGTAGATGCGGTAAGACTCTGTGTTGATCCCAACTGGGCAGAGAGTGAGCTCGCTTTGGGCCAGAGCTGTCTGATAGCGTCTCAGACTGTCTGCTGTCTCCTGAGGGAGCCACCTGTGGCAGGTAAGAAGGGGAGATATTTCAGTCAACAGTTTAAACTACCTCTATAAACACAGAAATATACTATAATATTGTTCCATGTAATTTACATTTAGAAATCACAGCTGTCTCACCTCAGCTCCATTTATTATTAAACAAGTCAGAAGAGTAAACTTAAATGAAAAGCTACTTCTTATCCATTTTTACCAGGTACTAATTTCTCTGTCTGACATGTTTATTACTTAAAACATGTGGTACACTGACAGTAATATTAGTAACAGGCCATAAATCATTTTAATCAAAAGGCATCCACTGTCCCATCTTTCACATAACAGATTGCAGAGTTTTCAATAAGCCACTCTGAAGTGTATCTTGGTACAAAATTGCCATAACCTAAATATAAGTGGAAAACTGAGCACATGTCATAATTATCTATGCCTAATAATTAGGGCTTGATTATCTTAAAGGCTTAATTTTATTATTTACTTTCTTTATTTAAAAATGTATCTGAATGCCTTAGCTGTTCACAGTAAAACCAGGGAACAAGTGTTTGTGTTGATGTGGCAGCGCTCAATGATTTAGCACATCAGTTTTTCTTGATTTAAACCAGCAATGGGATTTTCTTAGACGAATGGCTAAGATGAATTATCTGTAGGGGTACACACTGGATAAATCAATCATAACATAAATATTGCTAGCATTAAAAATTACAAAGCAGGAACTCCAGCAACACTTGAGGAAGAAGAACAACTTACTTGGGCGTGACTTAGCCAATTAACCAATACCTACCTATTATGTGTCAGCTGACCTACCTATGAAGTTTTGACTGGTTAATTTGAATTTTTTTCTGTTTCCTGTCTTGTATTTAAGCAATTTTTCAATGTTTTACTATGACCCTGATGAAGGCCACAAGCCAAAACGCGTTGGTCTATTATTAAAGTTCTTCTTCTTCTGTTGCTGGAGTTCCTGCTTTGTGAATTCTTTTATCCTCTCCATGCACCTTGGAAGCAGGTGAAGTTGTGCCAGAATTTTTTTTTTGCTGCGATTTAGCATTAAAAATTAAAAATTAAATTCTTTATCAGCCCTTAAATTAGCATTTATCTTGCCAGTTGTTTGATCTTCGCTACTGCGTAGATTACTGATGAACCGCACTGCACTGAAATTGACTTAAATGGCAGTGAAGACTTATTGCAGTTATTCTCCTTGACATTCCTTAGCATAATCCTCTTTCTTATTCATTTTTCTTTTTCTTTAAGGAGATTTTGGTCAGATTCAGTTGATTTGCCCTATATTCTGCCCACATGTGGATTAAAAGCTTAGGCCTCTGTGATGTCTAATTTTAACCAAAGTCGTTTGGTTCCCTAAAACTTAAATAAGTTTTGGATTTCACTATGCAAGACTAATAATTTGAAACCGTTTGACCATGAAGCTTACTGTAGACATGAATAGTTTCACAAAGATACACTAGGACGGCCTTAGTGGCAAGATGTTTTTTATACTATTCTAAATATCTCAACTTTTTGTCCTCTTGTTATAGCTGTGTTATAGCACAGTCAGCCAAAGTAAAAATAATCCAGCCAATAAAAAAACTAAAAGATTTTATTCTTTCAGATAAGGCAATGAAACAGGTAATAAATAGTGACTTACTTTTCCCTCGCAGTGGTGATGCAATCCTTTTCCAGGCCAGACTGTGTCAGAATATGCATGAGTGTTTCTCTGGAAGAATTTTTGTAAACAGTTCCTAAGAAATTGCAGAGGTATGGCCGGTTGGAGGTAATTAACTGGGCATTCGGCCTGATCATTGGAAACTGTCTGTATCTGTACAGAGACAAAATCGTGGCATTATATTAGACAGCGTTACTAATTCAAAGAGGAAACATGACACATACACACAAATTAGACAATAAGCGAGGACATACGTAGCAACACCAAGAGGCCACTGAAAGACATCCTTGTCATTGACCCAGGGGCTATCATACACTACAAAAAGGAGGTCCACAAAGCCACCATTTCTCTTCAGATGTGGGCTGATCCAGTTGTTGTTGCAGTGCTCATTGCCCAGCAGAACCACAGCAACGTGAGACACTGTATTGGACTGAACCAGAGTTTGGACGTGCTCCAGCCACCGTGTGGAGTAAGTGACTTTTTGCTTTTCGCGGCCATTGAGAACCAAAACCAGACTATTCATGTCCAGAGGCACATGACCCTGCACCACAGCAGGACCTGTGTAGAAACTAGAGACAGAGTGATTTACAAGGATGGGGTCACATTTTTTTTCAGTAAATATGTAATTAAGGCTCAAATGCAAACTATATGTTTGTGCTTTTAAACTTTCTATCTCTGATCTGTTACCTGAAATCTATCTTCCCTGACTGCAGCTCCCCCTCTCTCCATTGTGCTACCTTGTCTGTGGGGTTGAGGGGGCCCTCTAAAACATGTTCCCAAAGGTAAAGCCCTGTAAAGGAAATAGATAGACGAATGACGGTTATTCTGTAGGCCTCCAAGTATGAGATAAAATATATGTAAAACCATAATATCTTGCCACAGAGCAAATTATTTCCATTTTTAGATGACATCAAAACCTCCTTTCAGGCTGTGACACATTAGATCATGACCTACCTATTGCAGCTTTCCCCCATATCTGGACCTTGTATCTTTTGGGTTTGTTCTTGTCAATTTTACCCAGGTACTGTTTGAAGGCCTCTCTCTTTTTGTTCAAAGCAGAGTTGTAGTCCACCTGTTCATCCTCCCACGGATTCCACTCATCAGCAACGTATGGAGCACCGCCATCCCTTACACCACCTACAAACCCAACACACCGTTATCTATTCAATTTTCTTTCCACGCGAAATTAAATAAATATCATTTTTAATTATCGGCTCCTGTTTTTAGGCGGCCCTCCTGCTCCGTGAAATTACCCGATTGTGCTCCCGTCTCTTTCTTCACCACCCTGTGAACGCGGGATAGTACTTTGGTGCTGAAGAAAACATTATACGCAGCATAGAGTGAAAACGCTACATATGCAAAAATAAGGAGAAGGAACAGCTTTCTTTTTGGTATTTTCATTGTTCTCCCCTTTTTTTCTCAGGTTACCATGGTGTATGTAGCTCCGTTTCTGTTGCAAGGACCCTTGTTTACATCACAAGGACCCCTGGATTTAGCTGACGGAGAAAAATGCCTGTTCTAAAACATTTGTTTTTAGTTTGTAGGCTTTAGGGTCAAATTATCGTAACGTGTTAAAACCGACATTAAGTTGAAGAAGTCAGACAATATTTAATAACGATTTTTTTTTTTGTAGAGGAGAAAAAGAAAGACAGTTATGTGACAGTAATGCGGAACTTTAAAAAGAGTTCGGAGACAGTTTCCGGTACAGAAGATTAGAGCGCTACACACAAGTTTCATACCGGAGATAGTACACGCAAGGTCGTGTCCCCAACTGTGGGGTTGTGAAATCTTATCTTGGGCGAAAATGATGTCCATAACCGCTCGTCCCGGGGCTTTTTCCCCGTTTCTCCAGACAACAAAGCATGCACTAAAAACGTTGATGTCTCCGGGAGCCAAAGAAGTGGCCGTTGTTGCTGGTAAGGCCCAGTGACGAACGTTATTAATGTTAGCCGGGGTTGCTAATGAGCAGCATGATGTGAGGATAAAAAAACGCAGTACCGGCGTCTTAATTATTCTATAACATCTTAATGCTGTAAAATGTGAAACCTATTTTCGGAGGCTTCTTGAAAACTAATCGTAAACAACTTGCGATGGCTAGCAGGACGTTGGAAGGGTAATGGGTAATCTTTGACCTGACTGACAAATAGGACCCGAATAACAGCGTAGTGGAATAAGGAAAGATGACAATAGAAGGATCTAAAGAAATATAGT